CTCGGTGTCTGCTTTCACCTTCTTGATGCCCTGTGATTTCCAGGCTTAAGAAAGCCCAGACTGGTCTCCTTGAGGATGAGTGATCACATGGGGAGAGTGTCCTACTCCTCTCAGTAGTTCCAGCCATCTCCACTGAGGCCTGAGACATGTGGTGGAGGCTGGCTGGGACCAGTTAGTCTTTCTCCAACTCCCCACCCCTTCACCTGCCAACTGACTGCAGTGTACATGACCTCAGGTGAGACTGGCAGAGGAACTGCCCAGCTGAACCTCGTCCAAATTATAGAAGCATAAGCAAATACATGGTTTACATGGTTGCTATTGTAGGCCACTAAATTTTGAGGTAGACTGTTGTGAGGAAATAGATAAGCAATAAATGATTAAGGTGAGACAGAAGGAATACATTTAGAGGCTAAGATTGTGCAGATACTGAACAGGGGTAAGAAGGGAGTTCACAGCATCTTTCTCCTGTAACTATGGTTGATTGTTATGAACCTAATGAATTTGTGAAGACCTACTGCTCTGACACATGTAATTCTTCGGATAAACAGATATACTATAATCTTACATCCAGGGAGTTCCAAGCTGAGAGTCTCATTAACTTCCACCTCATCCTTATGACCAATAAAGGGTCAGACCATCTTTGTCTGATAGAGGGTCTTGGGAATATCCCCGATATCCTCAGTCAAGCTTGGGGTCAAACCTCTCAGTCCTTGATCTCTATCAATCCTCGCGGCCATGTGGTGAGAGCATGCTCACCTCATCATCATGTAATCAGCTCCTCAGAGATCTCTAAATGGTTCTGGAGGAAATAATGCTCAGAAAAGTGGATATGGAAACAGGCAGGATAGAAATAAGGTATTTCAGCATAAGCTGAACTGATTATTCCAGACCTGACCCTGTCTGGGCCAATTTAAGCATTTCAGAGGAATTTTGGTCTGAAGAGGCTGAGATGATCCCTGAAGTCCTTTACAACCAAAGTGAAACATCAGAAGTAGATTGTTCTTCTCTGAGCAGGGAAGGCCATGGTGTAGTTCACAGAGTATCTGGTAGTTTCTACCCTAAACTTGCCCACAGACAGGGGAGAAGACCGAAGTGACTTCGTGCAGTGAAAACCAAACTACGTTCTCCCTGAAGATCAAAAAAAAAAGCTGGTTTCTGAGAAGTTAGTCCATGGGCCAATGGGAAAACACTAATAAAATCCACATGCTTTGGGATGCAGGTTGCGTGTAGATTCTAAGAGTCCTCCCTTCCTTCTTAGGTTCAGTCCAGTGCCACCATCCCTAATGCACTAGGATCCATTTTATTAGGTTGGTGCGAAAGTAATCGCGGGTTTTGCCATTACTTTTAATGTAACCCACGATTACTTCTGCACCAACATAATAGTTAAATCTCTCTCACTGCCCCTCTTGTTCTCTTTGTCAATGGCAGAGATGAGGTGAAGGAGTCAGGGAGAGCAGAAATGGCTCTGGTTTCTGAGCTCTGCTTTCTCCACACAACTTCAATGTCCGTGAGTGTGGGGAGGAGAGAGGGTGAGACTGCCAGCTGAACCCACCACTGCTCAATGCTAAGTGCTTGGAGCGTGGTACGCCGTCCACCTATGTGCCCTGTCAGCAAGCCAGCGTCATTTATAGAGGCTCCCAGGGGACTCAGCCTGCTGGAAAGGACACCAGGGATAAGGAAATCTGGCTCCAGCACGGACCTGTTGCATGAATTTAAGCAGGTTAATTACATTAACATTTCTGAGGCATGCCACATTTTACATTATGCTTTCAAAAGTACTTTTGAATGAATCCTCTCAAACTCCCCAACACATATGTGACATATGATGTATTTTTTTTCCTATTTAAAAGAGTAAGAAACTGAGGTCCAGAGAGGCAAAGTGGTTTTCCAAAGTCACTACATGTCAGATACCATCAGAATCTGTTGCCTCCAAGCCCTTTGCTTTTCACACCACACTGAGCCACCTCTTGTGTATTTACTTCTCTGAGCCTGAGTTCCACCATCATTAAAACAACTACAATTTTACTGTGTGAGGTAAGCATGTTACCTGTGTTATCTCATTTAATCCTTAAAATAACCTATGGGCAGAAACGATTTTTATCCCTGTTTTACAAGTGAGAGAACTGGGGCTTAGAGAGATTAGAAACCTGCCCAAGCCAAAGCCCATACTCCTAGCCATCTTGCTATATAAGTTCCCCTCTTTCATATGGAATCCCTACCCACCTCACCAGGTGATACTGAAGATAAAATTAGGTGGTACGTGGGAAAATGTTTTTTGGAAGTTAAACATGTGTAGCATAAATATAAAGAAAAATAAAAATCTATACTCCTGAAGATCTTATAACAAAGCTCAGAAGAACTCCCAAAAAACTGACACAACCACACATCTTCACTGACATTAAGTAGCAGAGACAGCTATATAAACAACCTACAACAGGAGGGTCCTAGAGCCTGGAAGCATTAGTCCTGGAGGACTTCCTGAAAGAGGTGAATTTTGGCTAAGTTCATGGCAATGATGCTGGCATAGTACATAAGAGAGGGGCACAGTGGCTCACGCCTGTAATCCCAGCACTTTGAAAGGCCAAGGCAGATGGATCACCTGAGGTCAGGAGTTTGAGACTAGCCTGGCCAACATGGGGAAACCCCACCTCTACTAAAAATACAAAATTAGCCGGGTGTGGTGGCGGACACTTGTAATTCTAGCTACTTGGGAGGCTGAGGTAGGAGAATCACTTGAACCTGGGAGGCGGAGGTTGCAGTGAGTCGAGATCACGCCACTGCACTCCAGCCTGGGCAACAGAGTGAGACATCGCACCACTGCACTCCAGCCTGGGCAATAGAGTGAGAGATTGCACCACTGCACTCCAGCCTGGGCGAAAGAGTGAGACTCCATCTCAAAAAAAAAAAAAAAAAAAAAAAGAGAGAGAGAGAGAGATGAGAAGAGAGGCATTCCAAGCAAAAGCTCTGGCCAGCAGGGCCACACTGCTCTGTAGAGCAGGTGTCTGGGCAGGAATGGAGATTCTGGTAAGAGTGGGTGGAAGTAGACCAGACTCTAAGGCCATAGAAATATACGTGTGTGACAGATAGAGCCACTCGGCCCCGACCCTCTGCAGCATTGTACACAATAGATTCCACATTATCCTAAACACAGACCACAACTCATCCGCCAAGCATTTTTTGCTGCTACAATCCTCAATCTCCTCAAAAAATCAAAATACACTCTCTGATCTTGGCACAAACGCTTGCTCTCACTTGTGGGCCTTTTCCATGGACTTTTATGTCTCTGTTTATTTTGTGTGTTTCATGAGTGGCTCATGCCTTTAAAGGAAATGCACTAACCTTGGCCTGTCATTATGGTCCTGTGCTCGCCCCGCTCCTGGGATGGGTGAGCCTGGGTTTTTAATTTGCTGTGATGGGAGATAATTGTTGCTTCAGTTTCTACCTCTGAAAATAAACCGGGGTGGTGCTTCCCGGCTGGAAATCCACAGAAGCAAGCTCACCCTTGGGGCCTGTGCCAGAGGAGGCTTAAGCCAGGGCTGGAGTGACTGATCTTAACATCCCTCACTCTTTTCCTTTTCTGGATTTCAAAACATACAATTAGTGTTTAAGAGCACAAGATGGCAAAGTTACAAAAGTTCAGCGAGATTTTTTGACATTGTATGCAAGAATTCTAGAGGTGGGACTCTGGGCAACCAGTAACATATTTGATGGTGGAAACTCTGTAATTCAAGTCACTGTGTGAGGCAAGGTGGAGTGGAGCCCCCAGCCGACCTGCACTGAACATTTAATGAGACTGAGAAGTAAGCTTATCATTAGCTACTAAGATTTGGGAGTTGTTTGTTGCCACAGCATAAACTAGCCTACCCTGACTATAAAAAACATGAAGTGCTTAGCATAGTCTCTAGAGCATCGCGGCCTCATAATAAGTGATAGCTCTTATTTTGATAGAGCTGTCTTGAAGTAATCACACAGAGTCTAGTACAGTTCTGAGCAAATGCTTGTATACTCTTTTATGATGACAGAGGATGAGTTCAAAGTCAGTAGAGGCTATCAGAACCCAGGAAAATACTGTGCCCAAGAAAAATGAAACCCTTACCAGAAACGGGAGAGGACTGCTATTTGCTCAACATACAGAGTCAAGTCATCGTATGTTCCAGTTTTCACTAACTAGAAACTCATTCCCATTTCTACTCTCAATGAAGCTATTTCTGAGTGCTGAGTCTGATGCATTCTCAGTTCAGAATAACAGGTAGCAGAACCTAGATACCTGATCCCCAAATTTATCATTGATTACTTAGTGCAGAAACCAAGATGTCATGAGGGTATTTTTTTTTAAATTTCACTCAGTAAGTTATAAAACTCTAAGAACCTCAGTTATATTAGAGTAAAGGCAGCCACAGTTTAAAAAGCTGACCATTGCTTCCAGGGCAGTATTTACTGCCAAAAGCAGTTTATCACATTGATTACAAATAAGAAGGGGCAGTGCAGGTAGAAGTTAAGAGTGTGGTCTTGGGTACCCACCCACAAGATGTAGGCTTACACTCTAATTCCTTAACTACAAGGTGGTATGTGTTTAAGAACTTAGAACTATTCTTTATGCGTAGGGATCACTCAGTAAATAATAAGCCGCCTCATACACACTAAATTGGTTGATGATTTTTAACATTCATATTATGGTTTTAGTCATTTATTTATTCAAAAAATATTTGCTTCAAACTTTCTCAGTGCCACTACCTCATTTAATCATCTCAGTGACGCTATAAGATCAGGGAAATTGCTCTCACTTTAGAAGTAACTAAACCAAGGCACAGAGACAGTAATTTTAACACGTAGCCAGTTATGTGGCTGGGTTTAAACCCAGATCTTAAATAGGAAAATCCTACAAAGTCTTAGTTCATCGGGAAGTGGATTTTGTGAGTCAAATTAAAAACTTTCACAGCTTCTAAAAAGGGGGAAGAGATTGTTCTAATACCACCCAGCCCACTCGGAGGTCCAGTGTGTACGTGATAGGGATATTTAATATAGAAAGGTATGCTGACAAGGGTGTGAGTCATCTTCTGAAGATAAATACCATCTGTGCATGGAACATGTGGTTAAATAAGGGAAATGCATGTCAATAAAGAGTGGCCACTTCCCCTGAAAGCTGTGCAGACCCAACACGGTAGCCAAGGGCCACTATTCATTGCTCTCTCACCAAGAAGTTTCTTGAAGAAGGAGGCAGAGTTGGACCTTGAAATCAGTCATTCAACACATGTCTAAATCTTTTCCAGTAAGTTAAACCCTCTCTCAGTCATCTTACCTTCATATAGCTTCACTGCATGAAAAAATCATGGATAAAAAGAGACTTGCATGTTTAGACTCTAGTCATTAACACACGCAAAGAGCTACTGTGATCGCCGGTGTTTCCTGGACCAAAAAGGGGCAAAGAGGGCTGAAGTGTTTTATGAGTTAGCCCATTCCTTGATAACCTCAGCTTTTAAGCTTTGCCGGCTGCTGTCAAACTGAAGAATTAGATGCATTGTATTTCATTATGTTTCATTCATTAATTCAACCAATATTGCTTGGGTACCCTCTAATGAACCTAATGAGTGTGGCCAGGCTCTGTGGGCAAGGCAAAGATGAATTCCCTGCCCTGGGGGAGCTTGTAGTCTGGTGGGAGACAGAAGTACCCCAAAGGAAGGCTCCAGAAAAGCAGGGTCAAACACAAAGTACTAGCTGCTGTCCAGGAGTGGAGTGGAGTCGAGTCTGGACTGGAAGATGATGACAGTATTTGAGTCAGGTTTTACCAAAATACCTGTATTACTGGTAAGCTCAGTGTGCATCTCTGGCCAAGCCCTGAGAGGGTGGGAACTGGAGTCCTATGACAGAACCTGCTTCCCTGCCGCTGGGGCCCTGCACCTCCCTGGTCTCTAGCAGATGCTGCCTCTGTGTTCAGCACAGAAGTCTGCCCCTCTCCACCAGATCTCACAAGATTCCTCATCAGTGGGGCCCGTTCAGCCTCTGACTCACCCATTCCAGGGCTCAGTCTGAGGTGCCTATGAGAAGAAAAGATCCAAGGCTGGGTGGGCGCCTTTCCTCTCTCTCTGGACTCAACCTCACCCACCTAAGCACAGACTTTTTCTTCATCTAAAATGAAAAGCCTCCATGTACATCCATTCCTTGAAACAATGCCTGGGGCTAGGGAAATGATCTCCTTTAGAGTGGCTGTAATTCATCATTCCAAACTGAGAAACTGTGGAGAGTGGCACATGCAAGCTGGAAGGGACTCTAGAACCATAGTCCTAATGACCATCCCAGGAAAACTGAAATCTGTGGCCATTCTTGTTCCCAATTACATCCAGTCTCTGCTGGCCCTGCCACAGGCTCTGGGGACTCAGTGCTTTATGGGTGCTGCATTTACATTTGCTGGCCAAAAGATGCAAAATAAAACCACGGCCAAATTTCAATTGCCTGCCTAGAAATATAAGACCAGTACCTAGGAATTTGAATGAAGGAGCTGGTTTAGGGTTTTGAACTTCCACCAAATTGACTCAACCACCATGTAACTGGAGGCCCCAGTTTTTGGGAGCTAGCTGTCTATAGTCTGGTTGGTGACATTTTTCAGGCAGAATAAGGAAATTCTCTCAGTGAAGAATGTATTTATCCTAATTTGTACTGATTTGATGCTGCCCGTTCAAAGGATCTTATTTAAGACCAGAGTAATTTGTTTTCTGTGCTGCCTTGAACAAAACTCCTCCCTGCACTTGAGTGTACAATATTTGTAGACATTTGTCTTCAGGCTAGTGTAGTAATCTTCCTTGTATGCAACTGGGTTTTCTCTGAAAAGACAGTTGTTTAAAGTTCAGCCCAACGTTTATTGACTTTTTTTGTGCTTATATCTACAGAAAATCATAGTCACTGGTTTGAATGGACTAATCAAGACCTATGAACTGCTGTCTGCACTAATATCCACTTTCCCAGAGATCAAAGCCACGTGGCCGGAGAGACAGACTTTCAGCTGCTTTTCTTGCATCCTTTTCTGATCAGAGTGATTTATCACTTGAATGCCATCATCAGGTCACAGGCTTTTTACTTCAGATATTTGGTATCAGACTGTTGAGTATCAGATGATTTAGCATTTGAGTTTATGCTTAATCTGTCTTATAAACAACCCCATGATTTAAAAGAAAAAAAATATAAAACCCATTATATGAGAAAAGCCTTGTCTACAGGACTCTTTAAGAAATGGGAGGAGGTAATACTTAGGAAATCCAATAGGCCTCATTTAATCTCTTCTTCCTTTAACCCAGGGATAGACCTGCATGTTGTGATGAGGACGTTCCATCCCTGAGCCGGGGTGAAATGGTGCAGGGTAAGGGCATAGTTCCTCACTGTGCAGGGAGGAAGAACAGGGATCCTTCAGCCCCATTTTTCAGAGGAAGAGGCTCTGAGATTCCTGGCTCCTCTTGACCCTGAACTCACCGTTGTATTTTTGGGAAGAATACCCACAGTACTTCCACAGACAGAAAAACCTCGAGGGCAAGGCCCAAGTGTTATGGTTCCTACGATCTCTCTACTAACCTCAAAGAATAAACTACAACATTCTAAGCAAATGGATCTCTATGTGGCCCCTGCCAGGAAAATTGTCTGAGTCTGGTACCAACCCTTCAAATCCAGAAGAGCTGGGCCCTAAGGTGGTGCTGAGCATGTAGAAGAGGGGTTGCAAACCAGCTTTCCTAGTTGCTATGACCACAGATCCTAGGGACCTCTTCAGTGTTAAGTTTCTCCCCAGACCCCACTGCTGCACTTTGAGTTTGCTGGATATCTCTTCTTGCACCAAGGGCTGCCTTCCCTCACCTTTGCCCTGCCATTTGATGTCCCAAGTCTTGACCAGGCCTGCGTGGCCTCACCTTGATAGCACCTTCACCATAGTAAGTATTCAGTATCTGGATTAGCAGACCACCAGGCGGGCCCAGTGAGATTGGCTGGTACCCAGTAGCAACTCAATCCATACTCCATGGATGAATGAATGAATGAATGAATGAATGATTGAAGGAAGTATGAAATTCCAGCCATGCTTCCAAGGGGAGGGTCTGCAGCCCTGACTCAGATGGAGACAGTAACAGGAGCAGTTTGAACCAGCCATCACCACTCCAGCCTGGAGGCTCTGTGGGAAGAGACCAGGAGCAAGGGAGAAAGAGTAGGCCCTTGCTCTGGACAGATCCTCTAGTGCTGCTGCTGTGAGGCCAGAGCAAGGAGCCCTTGTAAGGATGAGAAAGGAAGAAGTGTCTCCTCTACAGCTCCGGCTAAGTCCAAGCAACCTCAGCATTTCTTCATTCAGAACCTTTGCTCAGCCTAGGATGTGTTGAGGACATAAAGAACGAAGTGACGAGTGCTCCCCTGACTCTGAGGGGTTCCAAAAGGGTCATCTGTGGTCTGACGATCCTCCTGGCTAAATGGTTCCTACAGCTGTTGATTAGGTTCAGAAGAAAAGGGGCTTCCACACACCCATACCTCATCTGCTAGGATTAACAACATTAAAAGATAAGGCTAGTGGTGCTGCAGCCTCCTGACATCATCCTGGTCAGTCCACCTTAAAGATGGAACTTCACAGAAACGAAGGGGTGGAGAGTTGTATGAAACCAGACATCTTCTGAATTCTGCAGAAAATGCTATGGCCAGATTCACTGTACAGATTCTGACAAATGCCAGAGGTGAGAGGGGGGTTTGGATGTGGTCACAGTCAGTCATAGGGCTGCAATACAGCCCATATGTCTCTGGCTTTTTTAAAGATTAATTCACAAAACAAAAAGTCCTCAAGTGTGCCTGGTAATGACAGGAGCTCACTAAATAGTTGTTGATAGACTGACCCAGCACGTCCCTAGCTGCCTGTATACTGTTTGCGTAGAGCCATTTTCCCGGAGGCCGAGGCAGATCTGAACCATGACTAGAATCCACGCAGGTGGTGATGTACACGTGGCAGCCTTTCCATTCCACTCATCCATAGGCTGTGTTGGCCAGAAGAGAAGTTCTGAATAGTAACTTCTCTATATTTTTGCTGTTAAAAATAACAAACCCTGGGCACTAGATCAGGAGCTATTTCTTTCCTTGTAGACAAGTAGGTCCTGCATGGAGAAGCAAGTCTCTTCTGCCTAGAGGATCCATAATCAAATGCTTGCAGAGGAGATTATATTCTAGAAGCTCTGAAATAGTCAGAAATGCCCCCAGGCTCTCTGAGGGAGGGATTCATTCCAACCCAAAAGGATGTGTCTATACAGGCTGGTGTGAGCACGGGGTAGCTAAAGGAGTCTTGGGCAGCAAGCACCTGCACACCTGGCAAGGGCCACGGTGACAGGTGAGATGGGTCTGAAGTGAGGGCAAAAGGACGTGGCTTTATGGAACCTCAGGCTGACTTCAGAGACACCCACCTCCTGCCCCTGCCAGCTGCTCAGCCTGGCCCCCAGGGCACCTCCCCAAAAGCTTACCAGTCATTCTCCGGCGATGGTATTTGTCACACACTGGCATTTCCTACACTCCTTCTACTGACCACATCTCCGGGGACTGCTGGGAGCCCACTGACCAAGCTCACGAGGATGTGAGTCAGCAGGCCGGCATACTTAAGAAAGGGGTGTTTGGTCCTGGCTTGAGAGCTTCCCAGACCCTGCATTCCTGCTCCCCTGCTGTATGAAAGCCCCCAGATCACCATTTCTTAGAAAGATAAGAAGGGCACTCCATCCAGTCTTGGGCCTCTTTGAGGTTCCTGCCCCATTGGTAGCCCCAGAGGGAGAGCATCACCATTATTCCTTTCGAACGGCACTGGATGAAAACAGAAGAATCACTGAGAAGCTGTTAAACATTTAGATTCCTGGGCCCCACTCAAGACATTCTCTGGGGTGAAGGGTCAGAAGTAGGAAGCAGCAATCTGCATTCAAATACATCCTCCAGGAGCTTTCAAGACCCTGCCAGGACCAGGAATCACTAAACATTAAAGAGTATAACAACTTCAAAAGTACATTAAAAATTTCCTTTTTTTTTTTTTTTTTTTTTTTGGCTAAGGCCTTTGGAAGAGGAATTTGACTCAGAGATAATTTTGCTTCCTGATAACTGCAAAAGTAGCTCTCTCTTTCCTTAAAACAGGGAGACCCTCTGGGATCTCTGTATATCTGAGGCCAGCAGGAATCTGAGATCATCTCCAACTCAGTGTAGGCTGCAACTCGCCTTCCTAAGCATTCCAGACTCCCACAGACGACGCAGCTCCCAGCACGTTCCTGACTGCCAGAGACAAGTGAGGCTGTGAGTTTCTGCCCAGGGCTTACCAGATGCTGAAAACTTCTAGAAGGGATTTTCCTGGGCTATCAAGCACTGACACCTAGAAAGAGGTAAAACTTGATGTATCTTGCAGGACCGATCCCCGGAAACGGCTAAACTTCCCATATTATACGAAGGGCAGAGATGTGTCTTTAAAAAGAAAAATCAGAGTGAAGCCGGAACACATGCTGCCAACAAGACTGAATTAGGTAATGAGAAGACAATGTTTGTTGCCAGGACTGAGGCAGGAGATAAATCGTTTTTCTTTAACGAATCTCTCTGTTTACATTGTTCTCTTTCCTCACAGGACTGGCTCAGAAAAGACCTGTTTTTGTTTTTGTTGTTGTTATTTTGTTTTGACTCCTTGGCCAATAGGATTTGGTCCCATTGAGCCTCAGCCCAGGAGGGACCCACAGCTGAAGCCACTGTTGTGAGTCACCGCATATTCGAGGGGATGAGGGGTGAAGCAGCTTCCCCGCTGGGGTGGCACCTGCCTGCTGCTGGCGGGGCCCAGGTGGGGATGGCCTAGATGTTTGGAGGTCGGAGGGGGTCATGTCTGACTTTCTCACATTTGTATCCTTAGCTCTTAGCGCAGCACTTAACCAACACCTAACACAACAATGACAGGATGATAAACGATTGATGGCTTCGAAGGTGGGCAAGACAAATCTCTCTCAATCTCTTCACAGACTTAAACATATATACACACTGGGGAGAAGGAAGGAGGCGGAGGAAGAGAAGGAGAATGATAGATGCATAAGGTAGTTCATAGGTCAGAATCATAGATGACTGCCTGGGGCGGTAGGGGGAGGACTCATCCCTGTCACCATAGCTCAGAGGTTCCAGGTCCATCAACAGCCCATTGCATCTGTGCCTGGAATGCTGCATGAAGAGGTAGGAACAGGCCATGATTAGAAGGCCCCAGAGCAGAAAGCCCATCTGTACCCACTTTGACCCTCACACATGGTCTGTGGCCCACAGAACACCTCCTGCAGAATCATGTGAAGTCCTGCCCTTGTCCTGGTTGTTTCTCTTTCTCTGTATGTCAAAAACACACTGGTTTCATCTCTGGTTTCGCCACATCATGACATTACGTGCACGAGAGGGCTCTACCTCTTCACAGCATCATCAGCCAAGGGTGAGGAGAGAAGCCCCACTGTCCACAAGAAAATGAGGGTGGTGCCACCGCATTTAACTCCTTCCTTGCCCATCTGCTCTTTCCCTGGGAAACGAGTGTCATGACAATATCAACCCTTATTCCACGAATAGTCACGGTTCTGTGGCATCAAGGACAGATACCTTTGATGAAAAGTGGCTGGTTGTATGTGCAATAGAGAGATTGTACTTCATATACATTTTTCTGCCTTAAAATAGCCAGAAGAAAATCGCTGTTCTCTTGGCTCAAGCAAAAATAAAACTGTTTTTTTGAGAGCCTTATTTAAAGGGTTCATTATCTTGCAGGCTGCTAACTATATACTCTGCGCCACACTCAATAAAAGCTTCATATAACTGTCTTTGAAATTAACAGCCACCTCTTGTGCTTTTCAAGTTATTAAAGATGTTGGCATGGTGGAGAGATTGTAAACTTTCTATACTGGTGATTAGTCAGAGGGACCACATCCCACCAAATCCCCCAGAGCGTTCCTAACAAAAAGTTCCTTGTGACCGAAGCGCCAATTTTTCTTTCTTGTCTGTTCATTCTAATTCCACTCAATTACTCCTGAGCAAGCTGTTTTATTCCTGTCAACTCATGTTATTTACTGGAGCCTGTCAAGAGGACCGAAGTGGAGGCTGATATTATGTAGGATGTTTTGAGACTCATTAAAACACTTTAAAACAATCACCTATTGTGATATTCACAGCCCTATGTGGGGTGGCCTTGCCTGGACCATTTGGAGCCTGGATCACTTTGTTTATTTGCCATTAAAAGCTTCAAGTTAGAATGGCTTTTCTTGCTGCAAAATTTTTGGACGTGGGGATGCAAGGCCTGGTTAGGGTTCCTGGAGATTTCTGGGCAAGGATCTGAAAATAAATGGATTAAGTGTGTGTGCAGTGGGGAGGCCGGGGGGAGGACTCCTGGACCAGCTCTATATCTCTGATGAACTGATGAGAAATGGGGGCCAGCCTCAATTCGCCAGAGAGCTCTTCCTCCTAGAACTGGGCAGATTTCCTTAGGAAAGTCGGTAAGAGCAGTTTTCCTTTGAAGATGAAGTTCCCTGCTGTGTCATTTTTAGTCCATCATTATTCATACAGTAATGAACAATCTGTTTGAACAAGGCACCAGGCTAGATTTCCTGAGAGTGTAAAGCAGGTAACTCTATAGTCCTTAGATTGTTAGCTGAAGAGTCCATTTAATTGATGCTATATGGAGTGTCAGGTGCCAGGTGGGCTATGCAGCCTGAACTCTGGGCAGGGAGGGGCCAAGGCAGTCTCATTCTGTCCACACCCCTCCCAGCCTCCTCTTGCTCCCCACTCTTGTCTCCCACGTGCCAGCTGCCCATCCTCCCACCTGCTACCAGCATCTACCCCTGGCTGAGCGTTGCTAGGAACTCAGCCTTGACAGCCCCTGGGGTCGGAGGTTGATTCCTGTTCTAAGCTCCCTCAGAATGCAACAAAGAACCTGTGTTCAAGCTGGGGTGGAAGTTGAGGATTCTTGATTTCCAAGTCCCAAGATCTAGAATCCCTTATTTCTTAAAAATATCCTTGAAAAAAAAGGCCTCCTTTCTTCACTGATTCTAAGATACTCTACGATGACATCGTCTCAAAGCAATATTGAGAAAAAGGCCAAGTCACCTGGGCCACTGCATGCATCATTTCACACACTTCTAGAACATGGTTTCTCCACCAGTGTCTCATGTGTTTACACGTGTCATCGCTACCCCAATCTGCGGGTGTAGGATCAGGCAGAAGCAGCACAGGCAGAGGGGAATGAACCAGGAGGTCCAGAGCCTGTATCATCATGCAGGCATGAGCTAGGCCAGCACTTCCCACCTGTGTCCCTCCAGCAGTGGGATGCTAATCTCTACTCTAAGTGCAGATGGTTCCGAGTCATATAAGCCTGGGATATATATCCCCACTATATCCCCAGCTCCTATGCTGGTTCTCACTGAGAATGAGTTTAGAAAGTGCTAGACTAGTTGATTTCCAAGATCCTTCCTAACGCTTGAAATTCTAGGAGGCAATGAGTAGAGAATGTGAACACACAAAAAAATTTATAAGGCATTTGCCTAAGGCATGGGTTTTCTACCCTGGCTGTGTATAATAATCACCTGGGGAGATATATAAACAATAAAAGCCCACAGGCCTATGTCCTTAGTCTGAGGACTAGGATTCATCAAGTCTGGGGTGAGCCCCGGTCTCTGCATTTCTAGGAATGCTCCAATCAGTTTTGATGAATAGCAGGTGTCAGAGCTGAGAAGTTGGGGCCAGGGGTAAAATCAGACACCTTCCCAGGCAGTGAGATGAAGGAAGAGCTGACGCAGGATTCTAACATGCCCACTTCTGTTCATGGAGTTTGGCCCACGGGTGATTGTGCCTAGCACATCTTTCGAGATACTTCTCCAGAAGTCAACCATTAAAGATGCAGTGAAACAGAATTTGTTTTGTTTTGTTTTAAACCTCAGACTGACACTCAAACCACATCCCAAGGGCAAACATCTTACAGCTTAATTGATAGGTAGCCGCCAGCCTTAGCCATTGCTTGGAATCAGATGGAAAGCAGTGCTGGCTGCCCACCCTAGGAGCACTGGGGACCTGAGAGGACACGGGCCCCTGTAAGTGGTGGCCTCCTCAGTGTCCTCTGGCTGCAAGCAGAGCTGACCCAGCCTTCTGTTCAGAAGGTCTCAGCTTCAGGACAGAGAGGCTGGCCTGGGTGGCGGGGTAGGACAGAGATAGCAGGAGTTCAGTAAGTGGATCAGAACAGCTGCCCCGGCCAGCGAGATTCGTTCTCATAAACCAGGCTGAGTTCCTGGGTGAGGAGGACACTGTGGCCCCTGCATCATGGGTCCTCACATGCACACACACAGGAGAGCAGTTCAGCAGCCTGACTGCTGGGCAAGTGCTGCCTGTTCCCTAGGGGTGTCTGTTCCTGCTCAGGAGGACGAGCCAAAAGAGATGAAGCTTACAGATGACTGGAGTTTAGGGTGAAGTGCAAGCCCAGAAAATAGGTCTCATTCCTGCTACTCCCTCTCATATATTCTGCAATTCAGACAAACTGCATGACTCATTGCTGTTTAAACAAATCCTCTGCTTCTCCTCTTTTGTGCATTTGCTCCTGTTTTTCCCTCCCTACCCCTGTCTGCTGGACTCCTACACATACTCCCAGGCCTACGTCAAATGTCTTTTCTGCTCAGCTCCCCACTGGGTGCAGTGATATCACTCCCCTTGGGAACTGCCAGAGTATATTGCATGTATCTATCATCTGGTATTTCTCTTACACAGCCGTGTTTCTTATCCCCTCCTATTACAAGCACTCGGAAGGCAGAGACTAGGTCTTTGTCTCCCTTTGGCCCCAGCCTGATTCAATATTGTGCTTTTTATGTATTATAGCAGGCATCCATGAGTGTCTATGGAATGGAAGTTAATTGTGGGCTGACAGTAAATTGCAAAGGATCACGGCCCTTGCTAGCTGTCATGGGAAGGCAATCCTGGGCACTGTCTGCATCACTGCTGTCACCAAGTATGTAGCATGATGTATGAGTCCATTCTCATGCTACTAATAAAGACATACCTGAGACTAGGTAATTCATAAAGGAAAGAGGTTTAACAGACTTATAGTTCCACATGGGTGGGGAGGCCTCACAATCATGAGGGAAGGTGAAGGAGGAGCAAAGGCACGTCTTACATGGCAGCAGGCAAGAGAGCATGTGGAGGGAACTGCCCTTTATAAAACCATCAGATCTCATGAGACTTATTCACTTTCACGAGAGTAGCATGGGAAAAGCCCGCCCCCATGATTCAATTACTTGCTACCAGGTCAATTCAAGATGAAATCTGGGTGGGGACACAGCCAAACTGTATCACATGGCATCAGCAGATGGCTAGACCTCCTGAGCAGAGCCAGGGACTTGCCTGGAACATCCAGACCCCTCTGAGTTCCAGCCTCCCTGTGGAGTTGAAAGGCACTCCAGTGTGTGTTAAACTTGGTAGCCTACTCAAGAAATAGTGAAAAAAAGGACATTTACACCACTGGGAATAAAACTTGGGTATACACATGGTTCATACTTTACAGCAGATGGGTCAATTATCTGATTAATATGACTGATCATTTATCATAATGGAACACATTATTTCACGTACTTTTTTTTTTTTTTTAAGACGAAGTCTTGTTCTTGTCACCCAGGCTGGAGTGCAATGGCATGATCTTGGCTCACTACAACCTCCGCCTCCCGGGTTCAAGTGATTCTCCTGCCTTAGCCTTCTGAGTAGCTGGGATTACAGGCTGTTGCCACCATGCCCAACTTGTTTTCGTATTTTTAGTAGAGATGGGGTTTTTTCATGTTGGCCAGGCTGGTTTCAAACTCCTGACCTCAGGTGATCCACCCACCTTGGCCTCCCAAAGTGCTGGGATTACAGATGTGAGCCACCACTCCCAGTCTCACATACCTTTCTTATGTACAGTTTTTATGTTTAAAGCTCTTACCTCCTTAAGAACAATTAAGTTTCCTGAGAACAAAATTGGTAACTACAGCTGTAGAAAGGATACGGGTTTTGTAGTCAGACAGAGCTAGATTTGAAGCTTGGTTTTATCATTTCATGGCCAGGTGTTGCCATGATTAATTTTATGTGTCCACTTGCCTGGGTCACATGGTACCTAAACATTTTGTCAAGCATTATACTGGATGTTTACGTGAGGATATTTTTGGATGATATTTGACATTTGAATCAGTAAACTGAGTAAAGCAGGTTGCCCACCATATGTAGGTGGACCCCATCCAACCAGACAAAGGTCCAAATAGAGCAAAAAGGCTGACCCTTCTCTAAATAAGATAGAAACTATTCTGCCTGATTACCTTTGAACTAAAGGGAAAAATTGGTTGTTTGCCGCCTTTGGACCTGAAGTGGAGTATAGGCTCTTCCTGTACCTCAAGCCTGTCAGCCTTCACACTGTAACTACACCATTGGCTTTCCTGGGTCTCCAGCTTGTCAACTCACCCTACAAATCTTGGGCTTTGCCAGCCTCCATAATTGTGTGAGCCAAGTCTTTATAATCTCTCTCTCTCCCTCTCTCTCTCTCTCTCTCTCTCTCTCTCTCTCAGTAGTTCCTTTTCTCTGGAGAACACTGACTAATACAGGCACTTCTGTATTGAGAACTTTCTGAACAGCATTACATTGCTAGGGCCCTGCAACGGGAGGCGCCTTCTCAGTTTTATCACCTGGAACCTGCTCATCCACGTGATGCAGAGGAGGTGCATGTGACGTTTGTCCACCTGCTGATGCCTCTGTCACGGTGTCCCGTTTTCCATGGGTACTTCTGTCCACATCCTCTCCTAGGGTATTTGCCTCAGAAGTGCTTGAGGGGATTAGCATCCAGCAACAAGTAGGCTCTGCAATTAAGGCTCAAATTAAGAAAAACAAATGAGCTTACACTGGCCTTGGGTATTTCCAGTAGCTGGAAAATCCCACTGCTGGAAACCTAGTGAAGTCGTCTCAATATAGTATTTTATAGATCCTGCAGCAGGAGATGAATTAACACGAGAGGACCAGAGTGGCAGGGCAGAAAGAAAGTCTGTCAATGACCAGATCTTTTTAAAACAAAATGGCTGTTTCTGTTTTGGGGTGTGTGTGTGGTTGTCTTTATTTTGGATGCTAAGGTGCATTTCTTTTTCCCACCACCGAGAGTTTCAAGAAAAGAGAGCTCCATCTTCAATTCACTAACCAGGCAAATAACAGTGAGCACGGCTCCTCTTCCAAGATCCCACTCCAAAAAGCTGACATCAAGTTT